TTATTATAGTATATTTTTGTGTGATACAGACAGGTAAAGAGGAAGTGTGCAATTAGTGCTATCTGCTGCCAACAGCAGTGAGCTCCTCTTTACCTCTGTGGTGTGTTTTTTGTAATTCAGCTCTGTGCGTTATACACTGCCAAGCAACAAGGGAGAGGCTTCTATTCTTATTGCAATTCTTTCTTTCACTGGTACCCTCGCTGGTCTAGTCTTAAAAAACTTTTTTTGTTTTACATGTTCCGGCATCTACTCATGTGTGTTCTACCTTGTAGGCTACTTGAGCAGGAAACATGATGCGCCTGGTTTTTAAGAGTCAAACTAAGGCCTTGTACACATGTATACAAGATGATATGAACCTACACATACAAGTGTGTTGATTTGAAGCTATTTTAAGATCTAATCTAAGACCTTAAAAACATTGGAAATCACTTATTCTATAACATTTCTGTCTCATGAAACAGAGGGTTTTTAAGTGTGCATTAATACATACTGAACAGGAAGCAACTCAGCTCATGCTCCTACTGCCACTAATGTCCTTGTAAAAAAAACTCAAATGATGGACAGGAGTCTTTGGAAAACTATTTTAAAAAAACACTACGATATTTCAAAACGTGTGTGTAAAGCCTTAGTAGCCTTGTCTCTTTTCAACATGACTTTTTACCTTCCTCACCAGCTGAGTAGACCAACCTGCCCCCCTTTTGCTCAACTTACTTACTGATTCAGAATCCTACAGTGTGTGTGTGTGTGTGTGTGTGTGTGTGTGTGTGTGTGTGTGTGTGTGTGTGGTGTGTGGTGTGGTGTGTGTGTGTTAGAATAGCTCTGTGTGGGGAATATCCCTAGTTTATCCCGACAGATTAGGCCGCTTAAATCTCAGAGTGAGTGCACGTTGTTTCCTTGACCACTAAAGTACAAAAGTAGACAGGTCGCAGATCTGCCGGCCATTCTATTAGGACCCTAACCTTAGCAAACCCCCTCCTCCCCCTCCCGACAGAGCAAAAGTAAACTGCAGAAGATTACCAAAGACCAGATTTCCATGCTTACGCTGCCAATTGCCATCAAAAACAAGCGGAGAGAAACAGGTTATCCTAACTATACAAGTCTGTTTTAACTAGCTTAAACCCGATTTATCCACAGATTACAGGACCTTTTACACACTATGTATATGGTGTGTCAGTTTGGCTTGTGAGTGTGCCATTCTAATATGCAAGTTAAACCAAAACACAAGGGCCGAGTGCTTCAAATCTCAAACACAGTCCGCCCCGGGAGAGCCTCTTTAATCTGTAACAAATATTCCGACACATGATCCTATAACTAATAATAGCACAACTCTTCTTCTTTTGTCTCCATAGTGCTGCCAAGTTCTAAAATGAAAAGACATAAACTAACTATAGCTATTAAAAATAAACCTAGAAAAACGTTTAAAAAAAATCTGCATTGTTTGGTGTTGTAATATGGGGGTGTTTTGGGGGGTAGGGGGTCCTATATCCTCAGGTTTAAGGTATTAGCAATTTACCAAAATATATATGAGGACAAAACTATATTAGCAAAGTGTAAAATTGGGTTTTCGGCAATAGAACATCACCATAGGGTTACAAATGTGGTCCTTTTAGCCATCATGCAGTAGTTAACCACACAGTGGGCTGAAGTGAAATAACACTACTGATTGGGGTAGGACTTCTGTGTTATCCATGGATCCAACGGTTGTGAGTGCTCAACACATTTGGTCACAGTGGTCAAAATGAAGTGAGTGCTCTCTTTTGTTCCGCTACTTTACTGTCTGTTCGAAAAGAAGTGCGTATCTATTTCAACATCGTGGCACTTTTTTTGTTGTGGTTTATCTGTTTTGGTGGGATGGGAACATGAGTCTGTGGAGAATATTGTCTTATGTCAACCTCAAGAATTGTTCATTGAAACTTAAACGCTGCATTCAGGTCATTTGGGAGGCAATTGGAAATGGCCAACACCACAAAAAAAATGTGCAGACCGTCTTCGAAAGTTTGAGTTATACCCGTGGAAACGTACAGAGCAACGTTTACCCCCCCCCCCCAACTGGCTTGAATGCAGCAATGGGAGGGAACCTTTTGAGTCTCTGAATGTTCACTGGATTGCTATAATGTAACAATATTCTACTCAATATATGTTTTATTTTCTAACCAAATATTGTGTTTTTCTTTTCGCATCAATTAAGTAATAACCCCAGATGTCACTGAATTGTTTGTATGTAAACACTGATGGGTAAAGGTAAAGAAAATGGGAAGTCAATGGAAAAAAAGTATTTTTACCTTAAATTGTCCAGAATGCTTAGATTGATTCTACAGTTTACATCAGATTGCTGTTTGTATCTATGAGATATCTCTTTTTTTTTAAATCGGTTTATTTTTGAGGAACGATTTTGATTTATCTTTGGGACTGGGGTTTCTTGAATGAAGGCCCATATTGCCCCTGGTCTTCTGGACTTTCAGGAGGGACAAGACTGGAGGATCATGGGCAATGTGCTATGTTTGATCTTTTTTCCCCCCTTTGCTTTTATTTATTGATAGATTTATTGTGCTGTCATTTGGTATGGGATTAGACATTAAACAAGGCTGACTCAACGTAAAGAAGAGGAGACTGAATGAAAAACTAAAGTACATAAAATAATTGTAGTGTAAATCTATCAATGTCTTATTATATTGATGAACATCATGAAATATATGTATATTGGAAAAACAGTATCTATGACAACTTGTACTTTTGTGTGTGTGCTTCACGTGCTTTGTGGATGTGCAACAATGGGCAGATGCAATTTTGATCGCAATTCTGGGACCTTATCTGACCTGTATGAAAAAGCATAAATTTATTATCAATTGAAGATAAAACTCTTGCTGCTTTACTTTATCCTAAGTAAACTGTGTCTCAAAAATACATGGAGACAATAGAGGGAGACATAAAGATCCTATTTCTGGTCCAATCACTTCAGACAGTCCACACATTGTGCAATCATCAAACACACACATTTGTGCACACAAATAAATCCGCTCTCGCAAGTGGTATGAAGAATCTTATGTGTTGGAAACAATGCAAACTAAATTCACATTATCTATAAAGCATTTACATTATCATTAATATAATGTTGTATATCAGCGTCAGCGTGTGTATGTAGGATTTGTAAAGAAACAATATTAAACCTCATGCAGCACATTAGGTTAAAAATACTCCAGGGAGGGACAGTTGCTGTCCTCACATTTCCATTCCTGCAGCCTAATGGAGCAGTGCCCTGGTTTATTCCAATGCTAGTCCTTCTATCGTGCAGTTTGATAAAGATAGAAAGATACTGATGGATGAGAACACAAAATCAAGTTTCTGTAGTATACGATAAACAAGCTGCCACCTCATTTTTATCCAAACGCAGCATCTGAGATGAAAAATGTAAATTGGTCTCTATCTTCAGCTATAAAAATACAGAAAAATGTATTTAAATTAAAGTATGGAATTGCTCCTGTGGAGCATAATCAATAACTCCACTGTTGAAATGGTGAGATGCTACTAAATGCCATTTGCACATTTATAGTCCCATACTGATTATACTAGAACACTTCTGAATAATTGTGTTGAATCTCTCTTTTTTGGAAATATTCAATAACTCTTACTTATACGGTGAAGTGCTACCAAAATGACTACACACATTACTTCTCTGCTGGTTCTACACCACTTTGTTAGGAGAAATGTGCTTTTGCAATAAAATCACCAAATCTTTTCAAAAGCACGTTTCTTCACAGTAAGTGTTATCAACAGGAGACCGTTAATATGTGAAGGAAGTTTGGTAGCACTTTATGTATAACAGTGGAGTTATTGAAGTTATTTTCAATAATTTAAAAAATCACCAAAATCATTCAGAATCCTTCTTATAAGACAAGGCAAGGCAAGACATGTTTATAGCACCTTTCAACACAAGGCAATTCAAAGTGCTTTACAAAAATGAAAGACATTAAGAAAATGGCATTTAAAAGCAGTCATTAAAAAGCAAAGATAATCAAATAAACATTAAAAGAAAAAATACATGAATAAAAGTTACATTGCAGTTTAAGATATGAATAGTTCAATTAAAAGCAGTGGCAAAAAGAAAAGTCTTCAAAAGTCTTTATTATCAAATAAATGTTTCAGTAAACCAACAGGAGAAATGTGTGAACTGCCAAAGTCCAATAAATGCAGTTGCTTTCTATGTCTGATGTGGATAATGCATTTAAGCTCTTAAAAAGTATTGTTAAAAAATAATTCTCAGACAAATTCTACAGTCTGGACTTTCTGTGGGATTAAAGCAAAGGTGGAGGTGCGAGACAGCATTATATATGTGTACTCTCTTTAAATGGTGCTGTCTCTTCATCAGCACGAGTCTGTATTTGATAAATCAACAGAACAAAGACATCTAGTTAAAGAGAACCCATGTGTGTTCGTAAATGTATTAGATTCAGCACAACAAATGTGTAGGTAGAGTAAATAAAAACAACTGCACCTAAATAGATGGGTTTTGGTGGGTGCTTTCCAGTATGGGTTCACTTACAATGAGAAAACATTCCAATCTTAGATGATGTAACATTTGGCCTTGAATTTGAAAACCAAAAAAAATATTTGAAATTAGTAATTTGATTTTATTAGCAAAATATTTAATCTTCCTTAAAATTTCTCCAGTATTTATTGGTTTTCTTAATGACATGGAGCTATACATAAAAATGAATTATGCAAACGTTTTTTAAAAAGCCCAACAATCTTACCAATTTATACACACTTTAATTACTGATTGACCTCCTCATAATGCCCTCCGTTTGAATTCATTTATTGAACTCTGGTGTGATGTGTCTTGTTCTGATGTATTTTAAAAAGTGTTCAATAAAGTAGGAAATAATAAGAATTATAAATAGATAGATAAATAAATAAATGAATGCAAAATATGGCTTTTGAAAGTCGGAAGCCATAAAAGCAAAACAGTGCCATCTAGCGGTGACACAGCCGACCAGCACTTCCCGTGACGCAGAGAAACGCGGTAAAACGATATTCCGGTTTGTAGCAGGAGGGCAGAAGCAGCATGGCATCCGACAACAGCTCCATGGCTAACCTCGTTAACGGAAGAGAGCCCGTCCCCCTGAACGGGGAGCCGGTCGTGAAGCGGCCCCGGGAAAGCGTCGCGCAGGAACCCTCTCTCCGCGTCCCGAAGGAGCCTCTCAACAAAGTGACCGTGGTGCTCGGAGCGCAGTGGGGCGACGAGGGCAAGGGGAAAGTTGTGGACTTGCTCGCCATGGATGCGGATATTGTATGCAGGTGCCAGGTATCCCACTACGCTGTCTATTAAACTTCATAATATGCTTGAAACTGGCTTCTCCAAACAACTGTGGTGTTAGTAAAACGTCCGCTTACAGGAGCATGGGAGTTTGGTAGCCACCGTTAGCTTAATATTAATGACGGGGTTCCGACATGGATATATGGCACTGGATACAGCTTCGGAGGCGGGACCCCGTTCATTCCTATGATAATTGTTCACTGGCGAATGAAGCCAACATTAAGCTAAAGTACCCGTATGTGGGCTCATAGAGCATGCGCACTTGAGTTTTCCTCAAGCCCCGACTCCGACCTCCCGCTCTCAGCTCAGTCAGATTAATGAGGGGAAATAACTCTGGATTCAGTTTTCAGCATATTTTACTACTTTTTGACCATAATGATTCAGATAAAGGCCATATACGTGTTCGTTCTGGGTAGTTGATTATGTTCAAATAAAATATCCGCAGATTTACAGACGTCTCTCCCAATGTGAGTCAATGAGGAAACGTGCAGTACAATCATTTGGCCACTACGAAAATATGCTTCGCTTTCCGGCGCACTTCCTGGGGGCTTGGGCTCCGACGTCAACAACCTTGCCTGACCTCCCGGATGTAGACATGTAAATGTATGCTAGTGAGAACTGCTCGGATGTTATTCATTTCCCGTGCTGATAAAATGTTAACTGAATCCACCACATGACCTCCAGATACTGACAACCTTACTCAGTGAATGCTACGTTATGTAAAAGTTTGACCGGCCCGGCTGTTCCTCTACCTCTTTGCAGTCAAGCCAGCGACATGAGCATTATTTTGGGGAAACTCTGTACAAGCAGTGGCTGTCCAGTGGTGTAAAGTAACCAAGTAGATTTACTCAAGCACTGTTCTTAAGTACAATTTTGATGTAATTGTTCACTTTACTTCAGTATTTGCTACTTTGTATTTTCTACCCCACGACAATTCAGATGTAAATAGTGAGGTTTTACTCCACTATATGCATTGTATACCTTTTAGTTACTTTGCAGATTTTCATTAATGATTTGAATTATATTCAAAACTTAAATCAGACTTTAGTTACACCTGTCCTGGAGTAATATTCACATTCTACTCTGCAGCATCCAAAGTAATTAAAATTAGCTGCACTTTCACCAGCTTTAATAACCCTTTAATGCATCAATGATTATGATCAAAACATATGATATATATATATCATTAGGAAAATGGCCAATTTGCTTAGTGAGTACTTTTTCGCTTCTCCACCTCTGATTGTGACCCTGTTCTCAAATAAAACACAGGCTGAAGTGTTTAAAAAGACCATGAAGCTTCAACTGTCCTCGATGTTGATGGTTTCTGTGAATGTGTTGTTCTGTTTGCAGGGAGGCAACAATGCAGGTCACACGGTGGTGGTGGACTCAGTGGAGTACGACTTCCACCTGCTGCCCAGCGGAGTGCTCAACAAGAATGCCACCTCCTTCATTGGTACGAGACCATCCTTGTGTTGTATTTTTAAGGATTATAATTTCACACGGAGAGAAGGATCCTAAAGTATATGACCGAGATAAGGGCAGAAATCAGAAGCGCCGCCACAGACAGCCTTATCAGCTGTAATGTAGATATGAAGTGTTGTTATGTATAGCTAACAACTACTGCCAACGGTGCAAGAAATCCTACCTTACATAAGCCTACTGTTGTATTTGTTTGTATTGGAAATGATCTAGATTGGTGTTAATTCATTCATTCATTTTGTTTCTAATATATTTCCACCCTATTTATGTCAATAAGGCTAGAGTATATAATAGAAACACCCTAAGTTCAACAGCAACACAGACGTAAGCCTCCAAAATGATCATATTGTCGAATCAACACCTCTCCAAAACAGTTTCAACAGAAACGTCTAACCATATTTAATGTAGTTTGTATTGCCTTGCTGTTATATCAGACTGGTACATAAAGAAGAAATCAACACAAAATGCCCGTAAGGGACTAAAAATACTCATCAAATGGTAACTGAAATGATTGCCCTAAGCACAAAAGCTACATTCTACACACAAATGAAACACAGTTCTCTTCATTTTGCATTTCCTCTTTTTAGTAGACTTGTTTCCAGTATGATGAAAACATGGAAAGAGGAAGCAAAAAAAGAACTCTTGTTAACCCTCTGAGACCCACGGGGCCGTATACGATCCCAAAGATCACGTTGTGTTCAGAGCGTCATAACTTCTCAGCTGTTCCAGCCAGAAACCTGCCGTGTGTTTCCTCTTAAACTACAGAAACGGCAATAAACAACTCCATTAAGTTTTTAATTGAGAGGCGTTTACTTATTTCGGTGAAACAAATGTGCGTAAAGTTTTAAAAGATGCGGATAGTAGTCTCACCTTGATTCTGGCGCATTGCTTATAGTTTTGTATGTTTTATAGATCTATTCTCATCCACCATCTTTGTTTGTGACGTAAAGATGTAAGAGTCACGTTTCTGAATCGGACACTCTGAGTGGATGCAGTCAGAGCCAATCGGAGTCTGATTCAGAGGGTTGCCTGTCAGTTCCGTTATGTGTACTGAAACGACAGCCGGTATAATTCCACGTGCGAAAACACAACGTTTTTTATTTATGGGCAAATATCCCCCATTATAGTGTATATAAGTCTCTAATGAGTGACATATCATTAGCTGAGGTTGTGCTGATTTTTGGGATGTGTAAAACTTGATTATACTGCAAAGAAATGACAATTTATAAGGCAAAACACAAAGATATACAAAAACGGAAATGTCCTATGTGGGTCTCAGAGGGTTAAAGTGATCCGTAACAAGATAGCACGTGTGGTTAAAAATAAAACCTCAAGGAAAACACGAGCAGTCTTGTTGCTCAAGAGTTGGGACGTTGAGTTATTTCCATTGTGGTTTGGTAAACAATCTTGAAATATATTATTTTTGTTACAGGCAACGGGGTGGTGATTCACCTGCCAGGTCTGTTTGAGGAGGCTCATAAGAACCTGCAGAAAGGCAAAGGTAACGTTTTCTAAAGTTCAGTGATGTGTACCTATACAACTATATTCCATATGACGCTGTCAGTAAATAGGACATTTCAACAGAAGATGTTTTGACATGGCACAGCAGGAAAGGCACATGTCAATAAAAAAGAAAGAAAGATGGCTGTTCATTTAGTCGATGATCATGGGCCTGGTAAATAATGGTTTCATGGGACAGCTGATTTAGACTGAGCCATGTTATTGTAAATGCCTTTATTCCTTACTGTGACAAGTTACACTGTGTCCTGCGAGAAGATATATTGTGCTTCTAGCAATTTTTGTAATGTATATTTCCTGTTTTTCTTTTGTATGTCACTTATAGTCCGGTTAGAAATATACAGTGAAGCTCATGGTCTCTATAAATATGGACTAGGCAGGTTTTTAGAATGAAATGTTTCCATTTGTTTGAGCCGTTCAGTGATGTACAACATTATCAGATACAATGAAAGGAGAAAACATTGGGTATTGGTATTTGCTCTCCTAAAACATAGATATGTCCCAAACCTTGAATAAAATATGTGTGATGTTGTAACACCTGCTTAATATTTGTTTGCTGTGGTACAAACATGTCATGTGGGTTCTGTTGTGTTGAGTGCAGGATTACAAGGATGGGAGAAGAGATTAAAGATTTCTGATCGTGCCCATATTGGTGAGTAAGCATTACTTTGTTCACATTTCCGAGTTAGAAATGTCCTCCTATTGACAGTCACTATATCCGCCTCTAGTGTTCAACTTCCATCAAGCTGTTGATGGAATCCAGGAGCAGCAGCGGCAGCAGCAAGAAGGGAAAATGTAATTCTGCTATATTTAGTTGAAATACTTCATATCTTTTACATTGAAGTGTATATTATAATGTTTGTGATGATTATTAATGTTGTGGTTTCTTTTATCTTCAGCTTGGGAACCACCAAGAAGGGTATTGGACCGGCCTACTCCTCTAAAGCCGCTCGGAACGGTCTGAGGGTCTGTGACCTCGTCTCTGATTTCAAGGTCTTTGAGGGCAAGTGAGTGTTTCTGTTGAGCTTCTTTTTCATATCATTTGCTTAAATTCTAGTTTTTATTCATAATCAATAAAGTCATGTGTGTTGAGGGAATATTTTCAGCCCCTGCACAGATACAAGTTTGACTCTAGGAGTTCATTTTTAGCACTTTTGAATATTCGACAAAGACCTCTTAAACCATGGACAGCCTAATGTCTATCACAAAGAGCAGATACATTTGTTCACTGTTTTTGTTTATTGAATCTTTCAAACAAGACACAGCACTTTAGTGTTGAATAAATGCCCATTTCCAGACCTGTAAATGAATATGGAAAGATTGAGAGATAATAAATAATAAGTAAAAAAGAGTACAATAATAATCATAAATAAAAAGAAACACAAAATAAATAAATAATAATATAAAAAATATAATAATCCAATACAAGGATTACATTACTGACATTACATTTTTTATAAACAATTTATAAAAGTAAAATACATTTGTGTTTTTATTAGGGCTGTCAAGTTATCGCGTTAACGCAAAAAAAAAAACGCCACTAATTATTTTAAAGCGATTAACGCATGTGTATTTTTTGTCCTCGGCCGCCCCGTAGTTTCAGAGCGCATCGAGTTTAAAATACCATCTACAAGCTGATGCTGACAGCCCCGCTCCTGCTACCCGCTTGCGCAGACCACACTTCCACGCTCACCGGCAGGCACCGACTGACCATCGGGAGGACCGGGAGGGTGTGTGTATGTGTGGCGCGAGCGAGAACAGGCACACCTTACGTGTATTGCTGTTGTTAGCATCTGGTGCTAGCTAGCTGCGCTAACGGATATAAGGAGCTGTTTAAATGAAAAGAGAGGAGCGAAATTTCGCCGACAAATGCGCCGAGCACTTGACTTTATGCAGGTAGCCAGACAGTGGGACATTGTACGAAAAGTCAGCACACTCAGCACGGATAGTGCGCGCAACATGATAGCAGCGTCCAGGCAGCTCCCGTCCGAGCATATCCCTTGAGTTGCACATAGCTCCAATGATCACACACACACACACACACACACACACACACACACACACACACACACACACACACACACACACACACACACACACACACACACACACACACACTTTGTATTGTATGAGAGAGGTTCTATGTTGAATTGAGGCGAATATTTGTAATGTTCAGAGGTTTTTGTGTTTAATATTCATGAGAATATTTGTCATTGTTCAAATGGTAATAAACAAACATTTGCATAAAGCATATTTGTCCACTCATATGTTGATAAGAGTATTATATAAATATCCCTATAAAGGTACATTTAGAACAGATAAAAAATGTGCGATTAATCGCGATTAACTATGGACAATCATGCGATTAAATATTTTAATCGACTGACAGCCCTAGTTTTTATATGCAGCTTTCGTGTTTCAATGCATTTTATTTGTAGTGTCTCTCGCCACCAGGTGGCGTCACCTGGCTGTGGTGCACATGTGTTTACTCTGTTCAGTATGTCATGTTGTGAGATTATATTTTTTGAATGTGTATTTTGCATACATAAGGGTGCACGTGAACATTAATGTTTAAGCAGACTCTTACCATCTGTCTCTTTGCAGGTTCCGCATGTTGGCAAAACATTTCCTCACAATGTACCCAAACCTGAACGTGGACGTGGACAGTGAACTGCAGCAGCTGAAGGTGCGTTTATCGTGTAGTCAGGAAATACTGACCGTCACACTTTGTTCTGACTCACTTGGCCTTGATATGAGGACAATAGACCCTTTGTTCACTGTGGACACTTAGACATGTCAGTGGACAAGGCTCAGGTGTAAAATAATGCAATGCATGATGGCTGGATGTAGCTGCTGTAGTTTCAAGGTCCTGCTATTGTGCAAACTGCCTAACTGTCATGGCAACAGAGAAATTGTTAATGTTCTCACGAACAGCAGTGCTTTTACTACTGTGATCATTTATAATGTCGGCTGTGGGAAATGGCTATAGTTTGTGTATGAAAACATGTCATTATTGGGTTGATATTTATATGTGTGTGTGTGTGTGTGTGTGTATATATATATATATATTTAATTTAATTTTGCAAGTTAAATTCAACTTGCAAAATGTTAAACAACTTAGACCTTTCTTAACTGTCAATGCTGCAAAGTCATACCTCCACTGTGTGATTCTATCCCACATTGAATACTGGTTGACAAACTGGTCGTTTGCTTGTG